ATCCTTCAATTAACGTAGAAGAGTTCAGATTTTCTTCAGTATTTGTACTGCTGTTGAGGCTTCTAGACTGGAGTTCATCACTTAGATTTTTAATTGTATTGTCCGATTTTAACCTTTCGGTAAAAGCTGATGAATTGCGATTTGTTTCACCATTAGTGATGCTACTGGGAGTTATGGATTCATCCATATTTCTACTTGGAGTTGTTTCAACATCCATTATGCTACTTGAAGTTGTTTCACCATTAATGGTGCTACTTGGAGTTATCGACTCAACCATATTCCTACTTGAAGTTGTTTCACCATCCATTATGCTACTTGAAGTTGTTTCACTATTAATGGCGCTACTTGGAGTTATCGATTCATCCATATTTCTACTTTGAGTTGTTTCACCATCTAGTTGTACCATATTTGTACTGCTGTTGAGGCTTCTAGAATGGAGTTCGTCACTTAGATTTTCAAGTGTATTTTCCGATTCTAACCGTTCGTTAAAAGCTGATGAACTCTGATTTGTTTCACCATTAATGATGCTACTTGGAGTTATCGATTCAACCATATTTCTACTTGGAGTTTTTTCTCCATATATGACGCTACTTGAAGTTGTTTCGCTATTAATGATGCTACTTGGAGTTACCGATTCATCCATATTTCTACTTGGAGTTGTTTCAACATCCATGACGCTACTTGAAGTTGTTTCACAATTAATGATATTACTTGGTGCTATTATTTCATATTTGTTGTTGCTTTGAGTTGTTACTTCCCTCATTATGTTTCTTGCAGTAATTGCTTCATCTGTGTTACTAATCACCTCATCATTTGTAGTTCTGTTCTCAACATTCATTCCATCTTCAATCCCAATAATCGGGTTTTCTGTTCTGATTTCTCTATTCTCTCCCACTATTGTGCTTACATTAGAAACTGTTACGTCTACCTTACCATTTGAAGTTGTCTTTTGGACCATCCCAGTTTCTGGAGTTTTATTCCAATCCATCTCCACTTCTGCTTTAGCAAGGAAGGTGAACTCAGGCAAAGTAGGTTCTGGCGATTCACTAGCTAATGAGAAATAACTGTTTGAGATATAAAATCCAACCATAATCACTCTAAATAGCTTCATAATTACAGTTCACGGACTCGAATACAGAATGTTCCCCCATGATTGTTATTTTTCCAACTGCGTCTTATCTAATGGAACAGGTTTATTGTTTTAGATAACGATAATTGCGTGTTATTTTATGGATTATTATAATGACTTGTTGTTCATAACAGTTAATTTTCTTGCATACGATTGGGTACTTTAAATAAAGTAGTAATAATGGTCATTGGTTTTATACATAAAGTTAATTAGTAAGACTACGAATTTGTTCTTAAATAAATGTATATGCATATAATATGTTCAAGTTAGCTGTGTTGATTATGATCAAAAGTCAAATAATCAAAATCTTCCTTATAGAATAGTATTCATCTTGTATCTTATTTTTGGGAATTGTGATAACTTAGATCGGAAAGTACTTCATCTTCCTAGGTACATCAGTCTATATTACATTTTCACATGAAACCATACCTATAAACAATTTTCGTTAACTGTTCTCACTTCTTTCCCTATAACATTTTTTACTCTAAAAACATAAATTTGGGTAACCAAACTATCATAAAGTGTGATAAATTATTGTAACATTTTTCCATCAATAGTTTTTTTTTCGGTGGTCTTAAATTAGTAAATACGTACTTTGGGAACGGTATATTTTATTTTCAGTAACTCTGAAGGCAAGAGTTATATGATATAGGTTTTTACCAGAACCAAAATTAGATTACCACCACAAAGGAGCAATCATCAACGTAACTGGATATCAAACTCAGTTACGAGTTTGGGACTCTAGTTCCACCCTGATTTTATGTTTCACTGAGTTCTTTCCTGGTTCTAAATAAATGTATGTGAAACATTACATGTACGTATGAATTTCTCTTGATTTGGACTGCAAGATCCAGTTAAATGAATAGTAATTTATGTATTTAGATTTTTTTTCTGAATAAATAAACAGGACCGGTTTTAAATTTGGAGTGTATACTATACTACAGTATAGTAGGGGGGGGGGTTGATCAACGTACAGTATAGATTGTTGTCGGTGTATATTTTTATAGAAACAAATGCTGAGGCTATGGCAAAATGTAATATTTCACTTTTCAATTTGGTTTGTTATGGACGCTTCAAACAAACATCATTTTCACTAATACAATGCAAGTTAAACAACCAAGAGAATATCATGAACATTATACGAATTATAGTACAAATTGGGTAAAAAAAACTGTATTTTATTTACTTCAAAATTTGACCCAATCCGTATTTATAACTGGCTAGTTCATGCAGGTACACTAACTCTTTTACTAAGTCTTTAATCGAGTTTCGCAGTGTTAAATAGTGTTATAACGTTACAATATGCATAAAGTCTAAAGTGAACTAGTCCAACAAGAAATCAAGTCATATGCAAAGGTAATTCTGTAGAGTCAATTTCCTCATTTTCCAATGGCTGAACATTCAGCAATATTAACAGCTGTTGCAGCAAGCTCACGATGGTTCTCTCGAGCAGTTTCATTTTATGAACTGCATATTAGCTTATTTCTCTAAGAAAATTGACATTTAAGTTTATCTTATATGTAAAATAAATAGGTTGTGATACCTTTTGTCGCAGTGTATCCTTATCGTTTTTCCGATGACTATAGTGTTAAAAGTTGTTTTATCGTCAAATCTCCCATCTACTCTTCTAAAAACTTCTCGATGTCATAAATAAGTTCACAAGTAACTACAGTACATACACACGGAATATTTCAAATATTTGCAAATAATATGAGGTTTAAATTTTGTTATCGTCCGAATAAACGTGTTTTAAATATTTCATGTTCGTAAATGTCCCGTTTGTATTAACTATATGTTTGCATCTTGCATGTTTTCTTTATTTTAACGATAACGAATGAACAACAGATACAACGGAGGATTTAACAATGAGACTTAAGTCTTGGAACAATATTGTACCCGGTAAATACTATGAGGATTGATTGTAGAATAAGAGGTAAAATAACCTATTTGAGACGATATGAATAATGTTCGTCGATCGTTTTAGTCTGATACTTTTCAGTAGTTGGACCTACCTGTATTACGAAAGGATTTTTTATGTTATGTTTTTACTTGGTGATTTATCATGTTTACCATTTCTCGGTGGTGATATCGGTTTAGAACCTATTTTGAAAATATAAAAAGGTTCTATATTAATAGTGAAAATATATATTTTTTAAATAACCATCTTAACCTGGTTAAATCAAATTTCCTCTTCAACTATAGAAACTGATAAGTTTATGAATAGTTTCAAGTATTTTAAATTAGCATGATTTTACGCGTTCTCACAATGATTTTCAGTCCTGTGTGTTTTACAAGTATGGTATAGGAAAAAACATGTTAACTCTCTTTAATGACATATTCATGAGATTTCAACACATATTTTCTTGTTTATATTTTCATTTTGTGGCTTGAATAAATACCGATTTCGTTTGAAATTAGTAATTCGTTTTGAAAAAAATAATATTTGTTATTGATTGACAGACGTTTTTTCTGGACTTGTGTTACAGATCTGCAACTTTTCGTTATGCTTAAAGGTGGAGTGGTTATGGAGTCTTGAAGTTGTAAATGTTTCAGTTTTATTTCATATTTTCTAATTATTCATTCCTTTACTGTGATATACATATACTCTCATCTACTGCGCTTAATCATGTGTCCGGGTTATACTGTATATCTTATTATTTGTAATTTATGGACTATCCAAATTTTCTGGAGTTTTATTCCAATCCATCCCAATTTCTTCTATAGATTGGGCATCAACAATTTCAGATTCAAATTTTAAGCAACATAGTGATGATTCGCTCTCTGAAAGAATTGTAGCCTACGAGACGAAAATTCCCACTATAATTAATTAAGCCATCCCATACATTTTTGCAAAAACTCTAACTTACGATTGTTCGTCGATAGTTAGTATTTTCTAATCCAATAGTATAACCTGGGCAAGGTATTTGTGGTGCTATTTTACATCAAATTAATTATTTTTCAAAATAATAATTTGATCATTACTTATAGTAAGTTTACAATTGTTCTAATGATTTGAACTACAAAATAAACATTCACAACCAATATATCTCTACAAAAGTTCAAACCCCAACAAATTGTCGTCTTAATACTTCCCCTTATTTTATAACTTAATTCGAAAGTTTCAAGCTTGTGCAGCTCAGTAGAATTTACATTTAACTAAACGTCAGTTACATCCAGGCCCGCCATTTCTGAGTTCCCGCGATTTCACAAACAGTTTAATTTTATGGCGGGAGCATATTGGACAGCTGTTGACTGCTGAAACTGTTTTATTGACAATCAACAAAATGCTGTCGACTTTAACTGCCTCGGCTAATTCAAGTTATTACGTCTCCTTTATAGTTTACTTAAAACATTAAAGCAATGACGAATATTCAATAAGAGGCTATTTTTCGATGCTTTTTCAATGGGAACCAATCAATACACTATTAATTAACGTTTGTAAAACAGCTAAAAACCCTATAGTGTTGTGAAACAGTATTTAATCTACATTCAGTAAAGAATAATAACCATTCAAGTCGTTATTTTTTATTTTAATCACCAAAAGCTTTAAGTTTTACTTTTGAAATGTGTTGTATTCAATTTCTTTAATTTAATACATCGTTAAGCCATAAAGTTGTTATTGGTATATTATTCGGAATAATCAATTAGCACTCAACCTTTTCCCAAGTGTTTATATCTGAAGTAGACACTATCTTCTTATAGCCAGACAGAATTAGAGTTGAAGCTATCTATTTGTAAACAATAAGTGGGTTACAATAATCATCTGCTGATAAAACACTACCGTACACAGACTGTGTTCAGTTGATGGTTTCAACGCATCGAAACATTCACCAGTTTATTAACCTCTTTCTAGATGTTTCAACGTTTGAATTGTTATTACTGTAGGTGATTTGTTATGTTAAATGAACGCCACCTTTAGTTTTGTGCGCTACGCTAAAATGTGAGATTTAGGTAAATTTGGTGTTATGCAGAACTAAAGTTGGCACTCCTGAGTCATTGTTGAATCAGCTGATAAAGTTAGTTTGGTTATTACTGAAATAGGTCAATTTTTCTACAACAACTATGGAATCAACATCTGTTTTGGGATTGTGTATTGTTTTAATTGTGTTGTGGAAATACCGGTTGGTTGGTAAGTTGGAAATGTATTTATGTTGTATACAGTACTTGTGCTTTTTTAGATTATATTATACAATTATATTCCCATTAAAGCATTTATTATTGTATATCATTTAGGATTATTTTAAGAGGATGTAGTTATAGTATGCAGTACAAACAGTAGCCTATAATTACTTGGTTCACGTATGCTTATTGTTACTCAAATAAATAATCATCATGGATTATTTGAACAATTTTACAACTTTTCTCTATTTAAAAATCTATTGTTCAAGTAAATATATTTTAAAATTTCTACTTCATGATTGATTTTTGTACATAAGTACATTATAGTCTTGATAACATTTAGTTAGGTTATTCGCAATTAAGAAAATAATAATTGGAGAGATTCATTTTGTTATGAAAAATGGCAAAGTTCTAATAGATCGTTTTGTTACCATATATGAGCTAGATGGACAACCACTTGCATTTTATGAAAAAAAAAGTTTACAAGCTTTTGCCAAAGTAGAAATAATTGTAGTAAGAATACAACTTAATACACATTTACCACTCTTTACCCGCCCGAATACTTAAAATTAAAATATCAGCTATTTTGTATACGTTGTTAATGCAATAACATAATACAGCTACAATCGTTTATTCTACAATACAAGTATATAGTTCATTTATTCTCAAGAAAATGTCTAATAATTTTACAATTTTTGTTTTCAACTGGATTTTAGAGGAATAAAAAACCCAAACATTTTAATTTTGATTAATTGATTTTCCATTTAGTTTTATTTTGGTCTGTACTACAAAAATAAAACAGCATCGGTTTATGTAGGCCTACTGTTGTTATTAATGGGTTTTTTTTACTAGGTGTGACTTATTACATCAAATGGCTTTTGGTGTTCTTTGTTCTGTTATGGAGAAGGATCAGATTTGTGGATACACCAGAAGTTGTCATCTTTCCAACAAAAAAGGAAGAGTTTTTAGAAAGACCTAGGACGTGGACCAAAGAAAACGTATGTACAACAGGTTTTGGTATGAAATTTTGAACCCCTAATAAAATTAGATAAAATCAGATCAGTGCTTAATTTTACAAGATAGTTTACTACTTACAAATTGTATCTATAAGCACAAAAAGACAATAATATTCTGGTCTTCCCGGTTGGCAAAGTCCACTTCCTGTACATCATTACAACACTGCACTCACAAAACAGATAAGAAACATAATGAATCAAATTCATTTGAAAACAAATATAGAAACTGATTTAAGTTTTATTTTTTCTACTTCAGAGAATTTCCTAAGCTATTGCCTAAGCTCTGGCAACAATTAAAAGAAAAAATAGATATACATATGTAGGCCTAGATTCTACCATACAATTTAACTAAACCAAGAATGTGTTTATAGTAAAAAGTAGTCCTAAATTATTATTCTTTGAAAAAAAAACAATACAATGATCCTATTATAGTTTTAAACTAACTTTTTATTTGTATTATTTTTTTTATTAAATTTTCTAAAATCTTTGAACATAGGGCACCTTGCCACAGAGTGAAAAACAGTTTCATTTTCATGCAGGTCACACAAAGAACAAAAATAATTTGTATCGACCACCCAGGGTTTATAATTTAAATCTAACAACTCCCCTCTACATTTCATAATCTATGAGATTGTGACGACATCCTTATTATCAGACAGAAAAGTTCAACATTGCAGTCCAAATATATAAACTGAGAGTGAGATGTCGATATGCACCCTCCTGCCTATACATTCCGCCCTCCAGGGTTGGCATCACTGGTGCGGTTGTTGTAACCTTGTCGTTAGCTCCCGATTATTTGGTGGGAATTCAACTTGAAACCCTCTTATGTAGAAAAAGTGGAGAGGAGGAGGAGACAGCCTTCCACTGATATTTATGTGCCCAGCCCTACAAGGTCTCAAGGGAAGATCCCTTGGCCTACCTATTGGAGATCAAAGGGAAGAACAGGTTACCATAGTCTAAAGGATCTCATGGTTCACCAAGAACCTGGGATTTGACGGAGAATGAGGACCTGTGAATAAGGGTGCACAATAAGCTGCTCAGCTGCGATGCAATTCCATGATATACTTATAAGCCTGGCCCTCTGTTGAGTGATAATTCAGGTTGGGAAGTGAGCTGGTAGTTTATATATCAGAGTAGTTGTGGTTTTGGTTTCAACAGAATTCAGAAATTTACATCAGCTCTCTGCTAGTGGCTCCATTCAACTAAGTAAATTTTCATGATGACACTGATTTGGGAATGGGAATGTCTAGTCTATTCATATTCAAATAGTAAAAGATTAAATACTTGAGTGTTTTTTGGTTATCTTCCCTCACAGTACAAGTTTCATATTCTGATATTTTGCTCCTAGACATTCCGACGAGACAGCATGTTGGTATTTGCTGCGTCGCAAGACGTGTGGCTGCTGATGGAAGTCGCCCGGGGAAGGTACAACTCTGCTGCTGCTAGGGTCAGGCTACACTTCCGTTCTAGTAACCTTACCTACCATAGCGCAGGTTGGTGATGCCTTTTCGATAACTTATGCGGCACGCATAACTACAGGCACTGTCATGTGCTGCAAGTTTAGAATAAAATCAAACTATATTGGCACAAAAAGTATGTACATTGCTATAACAGGTGACATTGTCAGCAAAGAACCATAATACAGCTTATAATTAACATAAGAACCATAATTAAAAGCTTTGGTTATGCTTTTGGTTGACCAGAGCTGTTAGTTTGTTATACTGCTAGGTCTGGTCAATGGTTATGGTTGAGTGGTCTTTGTCTCTCTGGATATAAGACTAAGGATGGTCAATGTGTTCAAGATAAAAATAAACGGTGGCCAACTGAATCGAAGTTGCATGATGAGTGAATCATTTGTGAGTTGCGCCCTAAAACAAGTCTATTTGCGTCGCTTGTTTACCTTTACTGCATGTTTCCACAGAAAACAAGTTTGAATGATTTAGAATTTTATTTTGTGAAAAGACTTCATGAAATTATGCATGGTAAAACACTGCATTATCCATGGACTTCAAAAGCTTAAAGTGCATCCAATCCAACAACCAGTATAGGTTGCAGGTTTAGCCCTGAAAAATAACATTTCAGAACATGAACATGACAATTCCTATAAAACTCCAAAAATGTTGAGAAACATTCTATAGACACATGAATGTCCTTTTATGGGTTTATAAAAACTTGCAATAAAAAGTTATTTGAAGTTTGCTATACCAGCAATGGACAGATAAAGTTTAGTCATTCACTTTAAGTTAATAAAGTGCTATAGACAATTAGGTCAGAGGCGGACAGTTATATTTTGTCACTAACCTTATAATGATAAAACTTATTACAGTCCAACTAATCCATTTAAACCAGGGTTTAGATAAGGTTTAGTACTGCCATTCTAGTACATTATCTCTTAATATTGATTAGATTCTGAAGAAATTTACAAAAGTATTCCCATAAGTATTAAATGGTGGTACCGTGTATCAGAATCAACATTTGTATTTAATTCCAACTTAAATTTTTTTAGATAGGCTAATAATACAAATACAACCCTGACCAACACCTTAAACCAACAATTTGTAATGTCAGTTAATATCCCATAAAATAGAGAATAATAATAATGTTGTCATTACTACAGGAATTTTAGGGGAGCGAACTGGTCTAGTGGTAGAGCTCAAGAATTAAGGTCCTTATGGTCCCGGGTTAAAATCTTGCCAAATCACCAATGGATTTAATCTAAGTGATGATGCTGCAGCCCTTAGGATTATCCTGAAGTAATGTGAAAAATGATCCTAGACAAGTAGTGACCTAGGACAAAAAAAAACTATAGTAATTTTATAAACTACCATATTTACCATAACTTTTTTTCATTGCAATATAGAAATGTATTAATTGCGTTCAAGCCATGTTGAATTGCATAAAAGCACATACAAAGTTATCCTTTTCTCAGACTCAAACTTTCTTCTGATTTTTCTTTAATTTTTTTATCATCATCAGCATTTTCTAGTGCTTTTTTACATTTTACAAGAGAATTATATAAACCAAGATCTATCACTAACTAATGTCAACCTGTTGTTTGAAAGCTCAAATGACAAATATGGCATATATCTGGGTCCAGTATCAATCCTGCTTGGTTAGAACCAGCAACCTTCAGTTGGTGATTACTCACTGAGTTACCCAGAACATTTTGCTCCTTCAAACTAATATTTCTGCTGTTTATTTCGTCTCCTGATCTTTTCAGAACCCTGTTCTCTGATTTACCCTTCCACTACTTAATCCTTCCATATGCTACTTCTAACGTCTTCTGTTGATCAACGATCAGAATTATGTTTAATGTTATCTTTTTGAACAGATCAAGATGGTCGTCCTGGAGCCTGTGAAGATTGGGTAACTGACACACTAGCATTTCAATGCTTGGAACCAATGAGACGATGGAGAATCGTTTTTACCGGAAAGCTTCAGTGCAAGTAAGGCATTAGTTTTTAAGATTGACGACAATAAGTAAATTTTTCAGTAACGCTCTTCATTTGCATTTGTCTTGTTTCATTTGCTTAATATAGAGGCATATCTGGTGAAGTGGTTGTTGGATATTCTCTCCTGGGGACTGTGGTTAAAATCTTACAAATCCTCAATGGTGTTTGATTTAATTTTTATAGTTTGTAGATTAACGTTGTATAAAAATGGTGAAAAAACCAAGTTCCTATATGGTAATCCTTGGTCGCTGTGGTGGCAACTAGTTTTGGCTTATCTGATGATAGTTCCACCACAGAGAAGCAAAATACAGAAGAAACGTGCTTATGGAACAACCGTGTACTTTTAGCTCTGATATGTTGGGGTGGAAATGTAGGCCTACTAGTAGCGAGCTATGAAAAGCCTTAAGGGCGATGGCTACATAGCTACATAGCATATTTGTACAGCAGTTGTACTGCACAGGGTCTTCATACCGTGTGAGTGCTGTAGCCGCTAAGGGAGTATGTTTTATCTATGGCTGTAGTATGTGATTGGGAGGGTGAAAGGAGTTCGGAAGGGGAAGACGAATGGAATCTGCTCTAGACACCAGCAACTGGTGCTAGACATCTTAAGTGTAACATGAATGTATCATCTGTATCTTACTTCTATGTGGTCCCACTTAGAAACTGAAACTAGTTTCCAACGCAGAAACCAAGGATTACGGACGGCACCTTACAAAATATATATTACACATTTTACAAATCACCCCCAATGCTGTGACATTTTTTTCTAAGCCATTTTGTAAAGCTAAAAAACACAAATAATTTATTATAGTTTTGAAGTGTTGTTGTACACCTAATCATAATGGAGAACATTCTACATATTTTATAGCACAAACAAAATTATGATTATGAGCTAAAAAATGCCCCAAAATGGCACAAGTTTAGTTTTTAATTTGAAAGGTAAATCCTTAATTTGAAGATAAATTGAAGAAAACCTGTTACACTTTCTCTCCAAATTATTAAATAAAAATGTTTGAATACTGTAGCATATTATACTTTGTTACAAACGTAATGTCTTTAGTTTAATCCTAGTATAGGCATTTGTATAACAGCTACTTTACTTTAGGTTGACTTCAAAAGCCATTGAAAAATCCCATCCTTCGTGTTGTACTCCCAATGTATTGTTTCAGGATGAACAATATAGACCAAGGAAGCAGATTTGTAAAAATAAATTTGATGTAAGTAATCCACATTATTAATTTTCTAATATTTTTATTTAATAGTATATATTCATTTCATCACTAGGGTTTAAAGTAAATCTTTTCTACTCATTTAGTCTACTGAGTACTGTGATTGTGTTAGTGCACATTATACAATCGATATGTCAAACTATTGACAAGAATAAAACCATAAGCTATAACCGCAGTTAAATCAATAATAATTCATAATAATTAAGATACATGCGTTAGCTTACAATACTATAGTTTACAACTGACTTTTACTCTTACAACTGACCATGGAGAAAAAAGCCTTTTTAGTCCCAAGGGAGTCAAAGATATACTTCAGACTTGTGCAAGGCATATAACAAAACTGCTTTTTTTGATGACCTATTTTATTTCTTTCAACAAAAGGCAATAAGGGTGTTAGATTGGGAACTGGTAAATTTTTTCTTGTCATAGCTGCACGTCAATATGTGTGACTAATGTGTTTATATATTTTTATTTATATAGTTGGGCAGCTCTGAATGGGCCGTACTACTATGACAGGTCTGGCAATATATCAGCTTTGGCTAGAATCTTAGCTGAGCAACCTTTATCACAGCTACAGGGTAACTTGTAAGTATTAGATATTGTGAGAAGGAATAGATAAAAAAACTTTACACCATAAGTGAAAATTCTACGCAGTTGATAGCACCTTTGACTGGGGATTCAAGGAGACATTCATGGATCCATTCCCATGTCCTCCATGAATCCATTCATGGATCCATTGGTTCCTCCATTCTCATGTCAAAATTATAACCAATTTTTCAATCAAAATAAAAGTATTTTAATTGAGCCATTGATAGAGGATGCTGATGTAAACTGCTAGTTTCTGTTGAATACACAAACTTTTCAACCAATCAAAACTTGGAGTACAACACTATAGCATATTTTGAAGTCATATCAACACTTGTCATAGTATCAACAAATAAGGGATGAATCAGAATATGACAGAATATGAGTGTGACAGTAGCACACTTTATGTGTAATTTCCTCTCTAGTTTTGAAATGTTATCTGACAAAATAAAATTTGATTTTGACTTAGAAAAACCTGTTTCAAGATGGATCTTAACCTGGACCCTGAAGAATATTTCTTTGAAAATCGTCAGACATTTATTATTTTATAGTTGATTAGCCACATATCAATGAAAATAATGTTTGACATTTGAAACTTTTACCAGGGAGTCACTAGGCAAGGGGTATGAGCAGTGGGGAGTGGTACAAGGCACTGTCAGTGTTGAAGACATTGATACCAACCTTCACACTCCATCTTTGAGAAGACACTGCTGGAAGTGGCCCCATGTCAGATCGAACCTTAGTGTTGTCGGGTTGGCAGATAACGGAGCACTCTTCAGTATCAACTATAACTTTGCCAGGTGTAGGTTGGTATTCTGATGTTAAGCCGAGTATTTCTTTGGAGGGTACTAAAGTCTAGGACCAAATTTTAAACAGTTTTTTTCAGTGATTAAGTTAATGAAAATTGTTGATGAAGTAGAAGAAAAAATTACTGCGGTGTATGTTTATGTAATTGAGTTGGTAGCTGAGTGGTAATGGTGCTTGCCTTCAATTGTGGGATTGCTGGTTCACACCCAAGCAGGAACCAAGTGCTATATTTCATTGGGCAATAATTAATCCATATTTATTTAACGTAACTGAATCTAGTTGACTAAATCTTGATTGTTACTGTACTATATTTACAGTAAATCTTAAAATATAGATGTATTTAACATGATGAACCAGCATTAGAATGTCTAAGGAATATTTTAATGTACCGGTATGCTGTTTTATTATAAAATAAGTATTATTGATAAATCGGTACCAAAGTCATAGTTGGATGGACAGTGTTTGCTTACTAGTTTTGCTGCTGCTGTTTTGCCTACTCATGTTGAATACGTTGGTTTTTTCTGCAGGACTCAGCTCGGCCACATTCGCTATGCAGATGGCAGAGTAGAGACCATTGTTGGAGATTCATCCATCAAAAACCCTGCGATTCCAGACAAGTTTGTGAGAACATTTAAAAGTAAGTTGAATACTGTTGAAAGTATTAGAGTGAAAATTTAAAAACGTACGTTTTCATGTCCCTGGCCTTTTACTTCGTAGATACTGGATTTGTAGTTTATTATTGTGTGTTTTAATATTTTTTGGGACGGGGGCAACATGTTACACACATTTATTTGGTTTTAAATAGGTTCTAGGTATTTTTTTCGTATTTTTAAAGTCTCAAAATTCACGACCATGACGTGTCCCTAGGGTACATTTTCCAACTTTCACGCTGTTTTTAGACTAATTATTCATGCCGAAATATATAAAGCCATATTTTTATGTCATCAATGGTTATTAAACTTACAAAAAAGGAGCATATTATAATTTTATTGTCATTGCAAACTGACTACCATGACAAAATAAGTCTGTCCCTCGATTTGGCGTCACGACCATTTGGGAAAAATTTTCAACTTTGGAGCCCGACAGTGGCAAGCCTGGCGTCGATGGAGTCAGTTGGTTTGAGAGACTAGTTCGGGGTGTACGTCAGGATTGTAGTGCCGGTCGTTTCGAGTTGAAAGGAGGAATTACAAGATTAATAAAGGAAAGATTGTGTTTTTTGTAATTTTGGTGTGTCCATGACCGTACGTAGTCATTCGATGAAGTAGACATGGTGTTAATTTTTGTTTATAAGATATTTCAATTGCTAGATTAACCTAGAAGTCCACTTTGTATCCTCGAACATGAGGTGCAGGGCTACCGCCAGAACAGAGCCAAATAACACGTAATTTCACGACCAAAGTTTCACGACCATCGCGGGTTTTTTCACGACCAATCCAGCCTTATGGATTATAGTGTGTTTGGTCGTGACAATATAATTGTAAATTGAACAGTTTAGTTCAATTGAAAAACATATTTTTATTATAACTAACAGTATAATTGAAGGATTGCCTAGAAAGATTTAAATTATTCCAGACAATTCACGACCGTACCGCTTGTCCCTGACCATCACGTTTATGATTTCTATCATAACAATTTCAAAAATTAAAATATCGTCATATTTCAATGTTTTATACACAAAAGAAGCACACCTCTATACAAACATAACAATTTTTCGGGTCTCAGGTAAGTTTTTTCGTAGTTATACAAACTTAAAAAGATTTTATTGGCTTTTTTTCAATTTTTTAAGTTTTTTTATTTTTTTCTGGAAAGACCAAATATACTAAAAGCTTAGTGACCTTTTTATTGTATAATGATCATAAAAGTAAATTAGTTTATAGCAAAACATAGTTATAAAAATAATATTAACCATTTTTAATATTCATTTAAACGTCCGTTATGGTCGTGACAGGATTTTGTGTTTTTCCACTAAAAATGCTCTTTTAAAAAATAACTACCAAAGATATTGCGTTGCCATGGACATTTTATGAAACTTCAAATGTTAATGGAATAAAAAAAATAATAAAAGTTTTGAAAAAAGGGGAAAAAAATTTGCAAAGTGCTTTTCCTGAAAACGTACGTTTTTAAATTTTCACTCACTAACAATAGCGATGTTTACAAAACATGGATCAAGCAATTTAAATATAGTCTCAAATAAACTCAATGTACCATTACTTCATTAACTAACTTGAATTTTTTTGGCATGTAAATGTTTCAAAGTTTTAATGGTTGTATGAAAAATACAACATTGGACAAATTATTTATATATACTCAGTGAAACACTCGGATCACACTTTTAGAGGGTAGAGAGGAAAGTGGTAATAAGGTAGGTCAAATCTCCTTTCCTAAAGTTTTACCTAAAATGGATTAAACCATTGAATTGTTTGTGCTAAAAGTTCTATAGCCTACATCGTCAAAGACTTATTGAGGATCCTCCCGTTATAGTTACCCACAGAGAAGTAAGATATAGAGGAAACATGCATATGGAACAACCGTATGCTTTTAGCTCTGGTTTTTTACAGCGTGAGCGCTGTTTGCTGTATTGTATTGTATTGTTAGAGGGGTGGACTCGTGGTTCAAGCACGTCAACCGAAGCTTATTGTGCATCCCTTTTGCCACTAACTGGGTAAGCCTATGCCTGTGACCTTGACTAGGTGAAGGAGCTTTTGCCCAATGTTAGCGTTTGGTTCATCACCGACTGCTTTAGATCAAACAGAACCCTTCTCCTAGGCCCAAGTCCACCGCATTCCAGAATAATGTGTTTTGCAGTCTCATCAGACTGGTTGCAAAGTCAACACTCCTTTTTGCCATTGACAATTCGTAGAGCGCTGTAGTATGTGATAGTGATGGGAGAGAGGGGAGCGGAAGGGGATGACCAATAGAATTTGAACTAGACACAAGGGACTGGTGCTAGACATGGCTTAAGTGTAACACTGAATGTATCATCTGTATCTTACTTCTATCTGAGTTATCTTAACACTTTGATTTTATCAGTAAGTTATATTTGTATCATAGGTATTTAACAAAGCATATGAACATGAACATAAAGTAGACAGATTTATTTTGTACACATTAAACTGTCCAAATTCTTAACTCTGTTTAGAGAAATTCCAAATTAAGTTTTATCACCCTGCAGTGGTCTGTTTATGCACTTTTTGACAAAACAGAGTGTACTTTGGTTTTGAGGTGTCCTGCAGGAACCATAGGCAATTTCATTCACATTTTCAGATAAACCTATTACATGGACAATTTATTTTTGAAGTACCAATTTGAGTGATTTGACAGGCAGCTGTTTTGAACATCAAGCGTACATAGTTCGTAGACGGTTCCAGTCATGGGGAGCGCTGCAAGTTGCAGAGGCAAGATGTACTTTTGACTATCACCAAGCTACTTGTCTGATTTTGTCTTGGGCAAGGTTAGTTACAAAACGAATACAAATACTTTATTGTCATAGGACCAAGTACAGGCAAAGTCATGGTAACATGACAATGAGTAATTATTGTTGTGGTTTGCCCCTGAAATGGTAAGACAAATATATATAGTAGTTTATTTACCTTTTATTTTTGTCCCATTTCAAAAATAGTTGTATCAACAACCATGGTGTGGATAAAACTAGTTTTGAGCTGGGAGGAAAATAAAAGGTAAATAAAGAACTAATTAGTCATGATAGTAGGATACACATAAAATGCAAAGGTCAGAATAACGTTGCAGAATTTAATATACAGAACTGTATAGAACACACATAGTCTAGACAGGGTTGCCACCTTTGGTTAGAGAAAAATCAGGAATGGTTTCCCCTTCACCCAGCATAAACACTGCCATATACACGGGCAATTTAAGGGTCCAAAGTCAGGACTGTCCCGACAGAATCGGGACGAGAGGCGACCTAGGGTCAGGTTCATGTGTAGGACTTCCCGCATGAAGGCTTGGTTTAAAATCCCGCAAATTACTAATGACTTTTCACTATGAGACAGAGTTGACTGTGATCCAGTGTTCCAAAGACCATATGCATTAAATGTAGGGAAATCTCTATCTTGAAAAATAGTTATCTTAGGCAGTAACTTACACTGTATCGGAGTAACTCTGATTTAAAAAGCCATATTCTTTTGTAGTGCCTGTGTAAATCTATGTCTTGTACCGCCTGAAACTTGATCCTAAACCATAATGTATGTTACCTTAAACAAACAAAACCTGTGAACTGGTTGAAGTAAAATCAGTTTTATTTAGATCATAAACTGCCAAAGGAAGAGGGGACTTTGCGGGAGAGAACCCCATGCAGATGCATAAAATGAAATTAAATGAAAGTTAGCCTTCCTTATTGAAGCAAACTTAGGGACTTGAATCTCTGCATTATTCATTCAAACTAAAATTATGATTGGATTTTTAAATTGTAACTATTATTGATTATTTTATATGGTATTATTGGTCCCTAACCTCTACTTTGCCAATTTCAACCATCTTTTGACCGTAAAATCCATCCAGCTCATAGACTTAAGCTATATCTTACTTTGTCTACTTAATCTAATCTTATATTCTCAATTAATATAGTTACCCATTTTGTACACATAATCTACTTTTCTACAGTTCATCCCTTTAAACTATACCCTCCACTTTACCATTATAATTACTCTCTCCAATTCATGTAGATACTAAGTTTAGTTCATCGATATTATACACTAGATTTATTTATTACGGTTCATCTTTCGTATTTACTTTATCTAAACTACCTACTTTTTGAGTCAACTACGACTACTTTGTCCACCTCATTTACTATGTCCAATTCATCCACTTAACACATAAAGTGCGGTAAAAATATCAGTGGGTGCTTCCTCAGGTTCTGACATTTTTCACATAAAATCTTACTTTTTGTTCTTAGAAGTGAGGATCTAAATATCCGGTCACTGGTGACTGTCCAGTCCGGTCAACGACTTTTGTGGGCACTGTGACGAAAATACTCCGTTTTTGTTCTCACAAACACAATTTTTCACACTATAAAAATGTTAAATAGCACTATAGCTAATATTTACAATTATATAAAGCCCCTTCCTCCCTTCCAACCACTGTTTATTTCAATCACAAAAGGCACATAAACTAAAATAATTAACAATAAAATACATTGTTGTGTCATGTGTCATATAAAAAGCAAAAACCCAAGAGAAATACTTCAATAAATGTCCAAAGTCAATATATATTGTACAAGTGTGAATTTACTTAGTCTTCACAAAATAGGTTATGTAACGCTAGCAACACACATTCAATAACATCCTTTAGATAAGGTTGCGCCACACTGGCTGATTCATTTCAGTGGGACCTGGCTGGGCACAGGTGACCGAGCCGGCCTGCGGACGGTCCACGATGACCATCCTGCACTCAAAGTGTTAGGCTAATCTACTTTGTTCAGATGCTTTACTTGCCCATTCATTTCAACTAGTTTGTCTACTTCATTACTACACCCAGTTCACCTACTTTAGCTACTTTTCATACTTAATATTCTATGTCCTGTCCATCTACTTGAGCTACTTTGTCCACTCCCAATTCATCTACTATGACCTCTAATTTTGATTCATACACTTCAGTCACTTCATTAACTATGTCCAATTCATACTCTTATCTATTTTGCCATACATTCTCTCCAACGTTACCAATTTGTTCATAAAACTATTTGATACTTTCTTCCTCTGCTTGGACAATTCTATAACTGCTTGACTGAGATTTAAACCGTTTTGACCCAGGACAACGAGAGAGGATCTACCAGAGTTGCCGTTCCTCAGGTTCTCAGCTGTGGAGAGCAGTGAGTTGTTGTTGACTTTAGACCACCCAGCGTGTGCCAACCCTTCTCTAGTGGGAGGCAAGGCTGCGTCCTTGGGCCTGCTGACAGACATGGCCCAAAGTGTCCTCAGAAACAAGGTGGGTAAACTAAAGAGAATAGAATTTATTTATAAAAATAAACGCATCTGTTTTAAAAAATAAGGTTGCCAATGACACTGATAAAACATACACTTAAAATATTAAATGATTATAACAGCTAAAACCTCTTAATGTTTCATGTAAAATAATTTTAAAAAAGGATCCGTCCATATCATATTTTTTCCAAAAGTTCGCCAAAAATGTTGATTATGAATTTATTATTTTGATTATTATCTGAGAAACCATAATATTTGGGTTGGATCGATAGGAATGATTCCTTAATAAGTAACTCCTAAAGGCCAATATATCAGTATTCTTGAGTAAAAGCCATTGTCTAATTCTCATAATAATGTTGGGAGAATGAAAGTCAATGTAATTTAGCCACTAGTACAGAGCCCTTTATGTCAAAATTACTTGGCAAATGTGTAAATTGTTAACCAAGTCAACTTGAAAGTAGGACTACAACTTTAAGTAAATCTATAGCACATTTTATGTTGGATCGACTATCATAGTAACAATTTAAAGGTGGGTTTTCCTTGTTGATTTAAAGCTGTGGAATTTTGAATGTCATTCCAATAATTTTTTTAGGAACTGATTTTTTCTTGCCAAATTTGTCAGCTAGGAAAACTCACCTTAAGATAGACAGTGAAAGTTTATACTGTATCAGCACACCTTGAATGTTTGAATGGGGATTTGGCTTCAGCCGGTCCATCTAGAGGGGAAATCTACTTTTAGTATCCAAAAGTGGTGAATTAGTGTAATGGTGTAACTGTAATGGTGGATGGTGAACTTATTATGACCTTATTGTGACCTTTAACTAATATTCAAGCAAACATAACAAATTGGCTGAAAACGTCTGACTGCTACAATCTAAGTAAGAGACTTCTATTGAACTACTGCCCAGTGCCCTTAGAGCGTTCGGTTGACTAGTATTATTATTGTTGTGTACCATGACGATGGTTAAGTTGTTCGAATGTGATGGATGTCCAATTGTCCAAGTCAATGAAGACAGCACTGTAGACTGGGGTTTTGAATACTGTCTCGTGTACCTCTCATAAAGATGAGCTAATCAGTCTGTTTCGGAGCTGTTAGGAGAGGCACTTCTGTAGTCTTGTGAATATCACAGATTACTTTTTACAACGTGTTGCCATAGACCAAGCAGCACAAGGTATATGTAGGTGACTTTAACAATATTTTGTGTTCATACAGATGATGGTTCCGGCAGGATTCTGTCTGACTGTCAACGCAATGCAGCTTCAAGTCGAATCCTCCCTCCCTTTAAGTTCAGCTGTGAAATTCCTCAACTTGGTCAGCAATGTACAAGAACAGGGAAATCTACAAGAGCAGTGCCAACAGTAAGTTGTATTTGAATTTATGAAGAAGAGTTGAATTTGTCTACACCCAAACTTCTTTAGCAGCCAGTTTTCATTGTTTTGTTTTCAATCATACCAAATCATACCAATCACCAATGGGTTTGATCTAAGTCTCAAACACACACCTCCTCTGTCCAAAGTAATGTGAAAGTGGTTCTGGCCTAGAGCCAAGCATCTAGGATACGGAGATAGCAAATAACAATGAAAAATCACTAATTATCTGTCCACAGTGTGGTAGCCGCTTGGTTGTCCCTGGCCATGTGTCCTGTAGTGGTGGCGGCCCTGAGCGCCCAGGTAGTGCCAACCCGCAGTTACGCTGTCAGGTCGTCTGCTACAGGAGAGGATTGTGAAGACAGTTCGGCCGCTGGACAGAACGCTACAGTGTTGGGTTGCGTGGGTGTGGATGCTGTAATAGCTGCTGTACACAAGTGCTGGGCATCTCTGTACACCTATCAGTCAGTGCAGTATCGCAGGTAAGTCCTAAATGACTGAAAATTAACTTTTCACCAACATTTATATGACAACACCCTTAATTAAACATTACCTGGAGTAATCTATGGATCAGTTGATAGTTTTGATGTATTCAGTAACACCTTTGACCAAAAAAATTGCTTGGCTTTAAAAGGACATGTGTAATGAATGTATGCAAATACAATACACTCTCAATTAACTGAGCCCCGGTTATCCGAGTCCTCGGGTTATCCAAGGTTGTTTTAGCCCTAAATACATGTTTTTTTTTTTTAATTTCCAGTCAGAAAACAATAATTATATTTTAGGAATATCTCTGTTGCAAGCTGAGAAAAAATAGCAAGTAATTTGTGATTTCTTAAAATTGATGGTTTAAATCACTATTATAGATTATAGCTACTAGCTTGTACCCGCGGCTTCGTCTGCGATTGTATAACGATAAATATTATACAGCATATAAGATATAAACAGATTATTACAATCATTATCCGTAGTGGCTTCGCCAACGATCACAAAAATAAGATAACCATAACTGATGCAATGCACGCACAGTTTATTTCAAAATTTGTTTAGAATTAGAAGAGTTAAAAGTAAAACAAAACATAAGCGGAGATCACAAGAGCGCTTAAGTTATAAACTACGTCTTTCTTTTTATCTAAGTCTTAACAAACCTTTTCCACTTGTTTTGGTATTCAAGTCATATAAATGTAAATGCTGGTATATTTTTTTACTGCAGCTCTAAAATATGGTTTACATTTAAACAGTCTGATGTAAGGTAAATGCACCAGTAGCTGACAGTGCTCCAGAAGCTGACAGTTTGAGTTTCTTAACATTATAATGTGGTCTCTTAAAAATATTTACACATGATTGCATTGTTAGAAGAACATATGTTTATTCTTGATTAGTTTACAAAAAAAAATCAGTTAAATTTAGCCCATACTTGCGGAATGGTGGTGGTTTGAAAGCGACCCTGTCCGTACACATCACATTTAGTCGATTCCCTTAATGAAATTGTTAAGAAAGTTAGTTTAGTTTTTTGTCATTTCGCTAAATTTCTTAAATAGTATTAATGATTAGGCTCATTATTTTTATCAATTATACCTTTGTTGACAATTTCATGAAAAAATTGGGGCGTTAGGGGTTTTGGATTTAAAATTATATCAATGTCAGGCTTTGGTACACAAAAGCCATACAAGTTCCACTAGCTGACAGGGGATATTTGCTACTTGCACAATATTAAATTGGTTTCACCCATCGAAATTTGCATGCTATTTATAATTTATGTGATCTCACATTTCTATAAAATGATTTTAATTTTTTAATTTATAAGCCAAATTATCTTAAAAAATGTATATTTTTTTTAAAATATATATAAAATATATACAGGGTGACAAACAAGTCTGGAAACGGTTTAATATCTTTTTAAATAAATCCGTTAGAAAATTCAAACCTTTCACATCAACTTACATGTATGAAAACTACTTTTTCCAAGCATTATCATTTTTTTACCTCTACCAGGGGACGGCCCACGAGGAGTAGGTACATAATCTTTAATGTAAGCATATGTTGATATGCACATCATTTTAAAGGTCTGGTCAAGTGGAGTTCATTGCCAGAAACTGCGTCAAAAAAGGTTCATCCGTTACAAAATGGCGGCTGTCCAAAGTTCTTGTGGAATATACCCGCACAGGCCTTAGTATTGGTAAATACTCGTATTAAACATTAGCTTGAGAGCTGAAACTGTATTTTTAAGTCAACTAGCTCATAGATTAATATTATAAAATCTTCAAAACAAATTTTACCGAGTTTCAGATTTCCCGGCTAATGTTGAATAATATGAGTATTTACCAATACTAAGGCCTCTGTAGGTATATTCCGCAAGAACTTTGGACAGCCGCCATTTTGTAACGGATGAACCTTTTTTGACGTGGTTTCCGGCAATGAACTCCACTGGACCAGACCTTTAAAATGATGTGCATATCAACCTATGCTTACATCAAAGATTATGTACCTACTCCTCATGGGTCGTCCCCTGGTAGAGGTCAAAAAATGGTAATGCTTGCAAAAAGTAGTTATCATACATATAAGTTGATGTGAAAAGTTTGAATTTTCAAACGAATTTAGTTAAAAAGATATCAAGCCGTTTCCAGACTTTTTTGTCACCCTGTATTTTTAATGTAAATATTATTTATTTTAAAATATGTAAAATAAATTTTCTTAATAACGTTT